ATCATGGTGTTATAAAATAGATCTATAATTAGGAGTGAAGGTGCTGTTGGTCTTTGTTTTTTACTGTGGAGTGACCGCTGTGCATGGATTACAGGCTGCATTTCTCCCCCTTGGAGGGGATTGGACAAGTCCCCAACAGATAAGTCTAAAATCTTCACTAACTCTCTTGGAAATTGCATCAATCCATAAATATTCACAATATTAGTTCTATACTTAGAAACCAGGTGCATTTCCATCAAGGATACATTCACTACAGGTCACTGAGTTGCGAAGGTTGCTCACGTCTCTGAGGTTGAGCGTGTCAATTACACTGAGAGGACTGTATTTTTAATTTTTAAGATCTTGAAGCTATCTGTAATTTTGGATGTTTTTTTCTGTGCAGGCTCAAGAAGAGATGGCTTGGAGGATAGCAAAGATGATTGTCAATGACGTTATGCAGCAGGCACAGTGTGAACAGCCTCCGGAGAAGGTTACGAAGGTAGGGGGGTGGGAAGGCAGGGTGTCTTTATCAGGCTTCAGCCAGGCTGTGGGAGGAGAAGAGCTCTTGCCTTCCTGGTGCATCTGAAACCCACGCTGGTAAACGTTCAAACTGGTGTAGCACCATGTGAAGAAAGAAAGGTTGGAAGTGTTTCAGCCTCCGTACTACTTGTAGTTGTTCTGTGCAAGTCTTAAAATCCTCCTTGTTCATTCTGAGTCTTTACAAACCTGTTTTTTTCTGTGCAGGCTCAAGAAGAGATGGCTTGGAGGATAGCAAAGATGATTGTCAATGACGTTATGCAGCAGGCACAGTGTGAACAGCCTCCGGAGAAGGTTACGAAGGTAGGGGGGTGGGAAGGCAGGGTGTCTTTATCAGGCTTCAGCCAGGCTGTGGGAGGAGAAGAGCTCTTGCCTTCCTGGTGCATCTGAAACCCACGCTGGTAAATGTTCAAATTGATGTAGCACTATGTGAAGAAAGAAAGGTTGGAAGTGTTTCAGCCTCCGTACTACTTGTAGTTGTTCTGTGCAAGTCTTAAAATTCTCCTTGTTCATTTTGAGTCTTTACAAACCGCCCTGTTAGTTAACAGGGTGATTAGTGTTGCAGAATCAATACTGTAATTCCTTATTTGAGTTCACACTTGCTGTTTCATATTAATGAATGCTGGTGTATTTGCCTGAAGTGTCCAATAAAGCTCCGCAGCTGGAAAGTTGTCTTGTTGGGTGCACTGATTTACACAGTGCTCTGTCTACACTGTTTGAGACAAGACACAGTAGTTGTGTCCATGGACTAGTGAATTAGAATTGTGTGCTGGTGTTTCGTGACGTTGTTATACAAGTCCACATGTTCTCTGGTTAAAAAACCCACTTCTGATGCAACAGATTTTGTGAAATAATGAAGACAGTAATTTACGAAGTTGATTTCTGGTACTTCTGGCTTTTAGGCATGTGACTTTGCACTTTTTAAAATTTTTTAAGGTAAACCAGATTTTGTGAAATAATGAAGACAGTAATTCACGAAGTTGATTTTTGGTACTTCTGGCTTTTAGGCATCTGACTGCAATTTTTAAAAGTTTTTAAGGTAAATTCCTGGTGCATCTGAAACCCACGCTGGTAAACGTTCAAACTGGTGTAGCACCATGTGAAGAAAGAAAGGTTGGAAGTGTTTCAGCCTCCGTACTACTTGTAGTTGTTCTGTGCAAGTCTTAAAATCCTCCTTGTTCATTCTGAGTCTTTACAAACCTCCCTGTTAGTTAACAGGGTGATTAGTGTTGCAGAATCAATACTGTAATTCCTTATTTGAGTTCACACTTGCTGTTTCATATTAATGAATGCTGGTGTATTTGCCTGAAGTGTCAATAAAGCTCCATGGCTGGAAAGTTGTCTTGTTGGGTGCACTGATTTACACAGTGCTCTGTCTACACTGTTTGAGACAAGACACAGTAGTTGTGTCCATGGACTAGTGAATTAGAATTGTGTGCTGGTGTTTCGTGACGTTGTTATACAAGTCCACATGTTCTCTGGTTAAAAAACCCACTTCTGATGCAACAGATTTTGTGAAATAATGAAGACAGTAATTCACGAAGTTGATTTTTGGTACTTCTGGCTTTTAGGCATCTGACTGCAATTTTTAAAAGTTTTTAAGGTAAATGTGTGCCCAGTGATTAGGCCCAAATGGATCAATAGTTTCAATATGTGACTGTTCCCTTTTTTTCTAGAGCAGTTATATTTAAATTACTTGTATAATTATTTCACTTAACTGCTTGGCTGCAAATGATATAACTCCAGTCTGGCTGGATGAAAAGGTCACTTAGCACAGTATTTAGAAAGACCAAGTGGCTGCAGATGCTCTGGATTCAATTAAGCCAAGTACGGTTACAGTCATCGGAAGGTTGAGTGTGTTGTGGTTTGGTTTGGGTTTTTTCCTCTCCCCCACTCATAAGCGTACCAGGCTTCAGCATTTTTAAATACAAAATGTCTTTCTATTGAGCATTTGCCTTGTATGTTTTAGGGTAAAATGAACTCTAACCCTGTTTTTCCTTTTCCAGCTATGATTTCTGAAACGCCAGAACAGGAAATCTGGTTTTCCGCTTCAAGAATGAGTGAACTTTCCCTTTTGGTGGATTCTTTAACACAGCCAATAAAAACAAAGCACTGTTAATCCAACAGCCGAAATCTCCCTCATTTATAAGGAAAAACGAAAAAGAAGCAATCCTGTACCTCCACTGTAGAGCGTGAAGAAACACTTTTTCCTGTTGTATGTGGCATTCACAATAATGATGGTTTTTAAAGAGATGAAGACGCAGTTTACAAATGTGTCACTGAGAAACTGTGATCAACTTCACAAATACTTGACCCTGTCTCAAAAAAAAACTTTTAAGCAAAATATCTGGAATGGGACACAAGCCACAACAAAGAGGGGAAGGTTTTGCTGTAGTTTCTAGTTCTACTACTTGTAATTTTTAAACACGTAATTGGAAAGGCTGTGGGGCGTGTCCCCAACATTGGCCGTTGAAGAAGTGAACCTGAAATGGTGAATCCATTGGCGGTGAATGACCGAAAAAGTTCTAAGTTTTATTTTTCCTTACTTGAAATAGATGCGTATTCAACTGTAAGATAAATGTATTTTACTTCATAACGACATTAACTTGGAAGGCAGCGTAGAGTGATGAGGAGCGAAGCCTGGACGGTGTCACTCTTCCTGGTGGAGCTGGTTCCCCTGCACACACGATCCCCCGCTTCCCACACAGAGCGGACTCGAAAGCCTTGCGCCACCCTCTGCTCCCCAGCCCAGCTCCCAGCACAGCCCACGTTTTGAGGAGATGGTACCCCCTAAACACCTCCATTTTCTTTCCACTCCATCCCACAAGCAAGGAAAAAAGTAATTGCTGCCATTCTCCATAGCTTGTTGTCCTCCAACCAACATAGTATCTAATTCCAGATCTTTGGTTTACAAAGAAAAACAATTTTTAATGACCTCTGGCCTTCCCCCCAACATTATCAACACTTGCAACTTGCAAAACGTTTAATTTAAGTAAAAAAGCCACTGTGTTACACAGCACCTCATTTTTTTTTTCCAGTAAATTGATTTTTGCAGGGTATCAAAAGTACTCAGTGTCTCACCATTATGTTATTGCTGCATCTTTAGTACACAACACTTCTGGTTTGGATTTTGTTTTACTTTACTCTTATGATTGCTTTTTTCCTCAAACTTGTGCAAAAAAAATAATCACTTTGCAAAGAACTCAGATCATCTCCAATGTTCAGAATATCTTGATTGACTAGCAAGTGTTATTCTGTTGCAATATTCAATTGTATAGAGATACACTGTATTGTCTATAAAAAGCAAAAAAAGGCTGTGTATAGGTTTTTGGTACTATGTACCACCTCTTATTTCTCTCATGCCCAAGTATTCATGTACTTAAAACATACTATATTTAATTGTGTTTTGATTTAAAATATATAAATATTAAAATTTGTGTCAATTTTCTGTTTTGATGGGATTTGACTTTGGGGCTTTTTTTTTAAGTGTGAGTCTTGGGGGGTTATACAAGAAACAAACCCTTGAACAGTTTGTCCTTGGTACACTTGCACATACTTCTTAATCTTTTAATGGGTGATGTTAATGGCAGTGTGGTGGAATATGAATAATTTCTATTTAAATACCAGATAAGAAGGTATTTGGGGCAGGGCTTGGTCCTTCAGCACAGCCTGGAGCTGCGTATACACACTTCAATCCTCTTCTGTGTGTGAAAGCTCAACTATCCCCCCTTCTGTGTGCAATGCTTATTTGTTTTGCCTTGGCAGGGACCCAGCTGAGGGTGTTTGGGGATGACAGGCCCCGGGTTTGGGTACAAGTGTTGCTCAGGGCTGTGTTTCCCTCAGCTGATCTTGATCAGACACAAAGACCTGAAGTGCTGTTAAAGTTCTTTAAAAAAAGAAGAAGGGAGAAGGCCCTGCCAGGGCTCCACCTTGATCACGGGACCTCCCTCTGCTCTCTGAGAAGAAAAGTGTCTAGATTTGATGGAGTGTTGATCTCTGGGGTTATGGATGTCTGATGCTCACAGTCCCCGTGCTTCTCCCTTCACCCCGGAGGGTTTGTACACAGGGCCAGCTGCAGCCCTGGCTCAGTTTTTTATTAGAATTGGATATTTGGGGTAATTTGTCCTGTTTTTTCTGCTTTTTATTTTGGAAATACGATAAAAATCACTGGGGTGGTCACCGCGGTAAATGCCCAGGAGCGGCCCCGGCGCCCACTGCCTCCTGCTACCCCGGGGGCGGAACGCGTCCACCGCGGCCTCGAACCCGTGTCCTCCGGGGCGCGGCGCTGTCCCCACCGCCGGCCACGAGGGAGCAGCAGCGCGGCGCTGAGCGCCTCCCGCCGCCGAGGGGCCGCTTCCGGCCCACGTGGGTCGCGCGGGCACATGGCCGCGGTGAGCGGGGCCGGGGCTGCCGGAGGGGACCGGGGCTGGGAGCGATGGGGGACACCGGGACCGCGGGGGGCGGATGGGGAGGAGCGATGCGTGGGGGTATCGAGGGGCTCCAGGGCCTCCTGTCCCCCTCTAGGGTTCCCCTTGGGCTCCTGCTGTCCCCGTCCCGCGTGGGGACCCGGTCGGGTGTTTCTCCCTCCCACGGGGTCTACGCGTTCCCCCGTAGCGGCTCCTTCTCCCGCAACTTCTCGTAGCCCGGGTGGGGGCTGCGGGGCTGTTCCCCGTCCCCGGTGCGGCCCCCGCCCCTGAGCCCCTTGTCCCGCAGACCATGTCGCCGGACGAGGACGTGCAGCGGCTCCTGATCCAGTTCCGGGACGAGGCGGGGGAGTCCCTGGGCTCCCCCTTCGACGTCCCGGTCACCATCACCCCGGACAAGCTGCAGCTGGTCTGCAACGCCCTCCTGCAGAAGGTGAGACCACCCCCCCATCCCCTTCCGAGCTCCCCCGGCACCCCCCGAGCCCACCCCACGCTACCCCTCCTGCCCTTCCTCCCCCAGGATGAGCCGGTACCTCTGGCCTTCTTCGTCCATGATGCCGAGATCGTGGCGTCGCTGGAGAAGACCCTGGCGGGGCAGAGCGTGGAGACGGAGAAGGTCCTGGACATCATCTACCAGCCGCAGGCGGTGTTCAGGGTGCGGGCGGTGACCCGCTGCACCAGCTCCCTGGAAGGACACACCGAGGCCGTCATCTCCGTGGCCTTCAGCCCCACGGGAAAGTACGAGGGTCTGGCTGTGGGTGGGGGGCTTGGCGGTGGCCGCTGTCATCCCCCCTGTGCTCAGCTGGGCTCTTCTCCTCTCCCAGGTACCTGGCGAGCGGCTCTGGAGACACCACCGTCCGCTTCTGGGACCTCAGCACGGAGACGCCACAGTTCACGGCCAAAGGTGGGTGCGGGGGTGTCCTGGGAGGGCAACTCCTGAACCCCCTCCCTCGGGAACCCCTTCCCTGCTCTGGGGAACAGGCTGGGACTGCGGCTCAGGGAGGGAGCAGCTCTCTTTTGCCAATGAAGCGGAGGAAGAGGGTCTGGCCCAGGCGGGTTCCCTCCATCTCCGGTCCTGCCTCGGAGCGGCTGCATGCTGGGACACCGGGGACAGTCACGGCTCTCTGCTCACACGTAGGGACAGTCACGGCTTTCCGCTCACACCTGCTCCTGCTCTCTCTGCCAGGTCACCGGCACTGGGTGCTCAGCATCGCCTGGTCGCCCGATGGCAAGAAGCTGGCTTCGGGCTGCAAGAACAGCCAGGTATGTGTTGGCTCCTTCCGTGTGGGGCCAGGTGAGGTCTGGGGGAGTGTGGAGACCCTGTTTTTGAACCACAGTGAAGCCTGCTAAAGGGGCTTTGGGGCATTAGGGCAAAGACTTGTTTTTTAATGGGGTGCATCTGGTTGTTCTGAGCAGATTCCCGGTCCCTGGAGGAGATTCTCGTGTGGATGCATGGCAGTAGTTACGAGTGGTGTCTCTGAACTCTGAGCCGGGCAGGGCTCTGCCTTTGTCACCTTTGCAGATCTCTTGCTGCTGGGCCTTGCTCTCCTGTGGCAGATGCTTTTTGCTCCGCGCAGGAAAGAGTCCAGGCTTTGGCTGTGGTCCAGGCTTTGGCAGACGGCTCGGTGACGAGGGAGGTGTCTGGAGCGAGAAGGGGTATCGCCCGGCCAAGCCAGGGCTGCTGTTCGCATGACCCAGCCGTGCAGCAGCCCGTTCCACAGTGCTCCCGCTCAGACACAGCCAAATTCCCTCTCACAGGAATGCGAAGGAGGCCCTGCCCTGGCTGTGGGGCAAAATGTGTGCACAGAAACGGCCGGGGAAGCAAGAGCAGTCGCGGGCAATTAGAAGCGAGTCAGTAACGCTGAGCTGCAGAGGGGCAGTCGCTCGATCTGACCTTCGAGCAGTCTTGGGAGCAAGGAGAGCAGCCCTGGAGCTGCCAGGGGCTGCTGTCCCGCGCTTGGATTCTGGGTGGCCAGTCCTTTGGGCTGCTTTGATACCAGCCCCAGGGACGTGGGCCAGGCCAGGGTGGCTCTGCCCTGGTTTGGAGACGTTCTTGGCTTTAATCTAACCCAGGGAGCTGCTTGTCCTCCGTTTCCCTGTTTCTCCCGGGTTCTTAAGTAGCGGATGACTAATGCCTTGGCTCCTTGGATGAACATTTATGTAGAGAGCGAAAAAACAAGAGAAAACCAGCATGTGTCCCACCCACAGAATCCGATAATAAGTAGCATTTAGCGTGCTCTGGCTTTCATCGCGCTCTGTAAACATTCACTAACTCTCTGGCGCAGGATGTCAAAGGCTCAGGCTGGCTTTTTAGGGACCTGGGTTGGTTTTGCGTTGAGGCAGATATTTTTGTAGCAGCAGCGTTTTAGGCAAGAGAGGAGGGCGATCGGGTCTCATGCTTCGAGATGTCAGCTGATTGCTGCAGGGATCTGGAAAGGCATCCAGCCCTCCTGCTCCCCCCTCCCTCTCCGCTCCCTTCTTCTGCCAATGTAAATGCGACCCCAAGGACACCTATCCTTTCTAAACGGAGCCCGAACATTCCTGGGATTCACATGATGTGTGTGGCCTGACGCGACCCTCTTGCTTCCTCTCTTGGGCAGATATTTCTCTGGGACCCAGCCACGGGCAATCAGATCGGCCGGGTGCTCTCTGGCCACTCCAAATGGATCACGTGTCTGTGCTGGGAGCCGCTCCACATGTAAGTGAAGGGCCAGCCCAGCCCTTCCCCTTTACTTGGATGGAAAAGAGCAGCCTGACCTGAAGGGCACTGCTCCTGTTTGCCTTTCTCCTGTTACGGGGCGCAGAGGGGGTGCCTGCAGGTGAACGGCCCCCACGTGAGCCAGGAAAAAGACTTCCAGCTCAGAGCCAGGAGTCCCAGCTGCTGCTCCCCGTCCCTGTGAGGGCGCTGGGGATGTCGCTGCCAGGCTGTGCCTCTTTTCCTCTGTATAAAGACATAACCTGCCTGAGGAAAACGATGTTTTCATGATGTTGGAGAAACATTTGATATGCTCCTCCTCAGCGTGCTGAGCTGGGAGCAGGAAGGCTGGCCCTCGTGGTGTCTGAGCTCTGCAGAGCGCTCCCGTTCTGCTCTCCTGCGTCCTGGTTGCCTCTCTCGTCCTGTTGATTTATCATGAGGGCTGGTTAACTGTGCAATCCCCTTATCCTCATCAGCTAAAGATCTGTCTGGGAGAGGTGGGTGGAGGAGGACAGTTGTAGCCAGTAATCCAAGACATTATAGAAATAAATAAATAAATATAATAAAGAAAAAAGGGCCCTTCAGAGCAGAGCCCTGCAAATTGAATTTGCCAGTAGGAAACTCCAGCTATTTGCAAACAATTAACTGGATTAGCAAAAACTGATTATAAAGGAGGATGAGGAAATGGAGAGGAGGGAGATGACCCTGCCAGGGTTCCACTGCTCTGTCTCCAGCCAGCTGTGCTCACTGCTCAGTTCCTGCACAACAGGAGAGACTGTGCTTTTCCTCACTGCTGCTGCTGCCAGGGACCACTGTCTTTGATGTTGAAACTGTGTTGAGTGATAGACATGTTCTGCAAAGGACAGAAGGCAGCTGCTTCCAGATGTGTTAAATTTGCCTCCCTGAGCCACATGGATGGACGTTGCTGCTTTCATGCTCTGTGTCCATAGGCTGGCATGTTTCCTGCCGGAGACAAAGCATGGCATGGGCAGGGGAGCAAGGCAGACTGATCCCCCTGCCCAGGGCTCTCTCCACCCAGTGCCTTGGGGAGGTGCCGCTTTGTGGTCCCCTCGTTAGCCAGCGGGTTGATGCTGCCTCCTGTGAAAAAAAGGTCATTACCAAGAGCTCAGGTGCCAGATTTACCCAGATTGATGCTTCCAGTGTGCAGCCCAGGGGTCAGTTTGGAAGGAAGTATCTGTCTGCCTCTCCCTCATCTTGTGGGGATCTTGTTCTCCATAGGTCAGCGCTCTGCCCCTGCCCAGGTGCTCTGATTTTAAGATCAAAGACAAAGTTTTCTTTTATTGATGTCTGCACCCTTGAATCCTCTGGGGCTGATGGGGGAAGAGGTCGGTGGAGGAGCTCTGTGCACCGTACAAATGGATTTTATCTTTTTTTTTTCTCCAGAAACCCAGAGTGCCGCTATCTGGCGAGTGCCTCCAAGGATGGCAGCATCCGCATCTGGGACACGCTGATGGGCAGGTGTGACAAAATCCTCACAAGCCACACACAGTCAGTGACATGTGTGAAGTGGGGAGGCGATGGCTTGCTCTACTCTTCCTCCCAGGACAGGACCATCAAAGTCTGGAGGACCCAGGACGTAAGTCGCATGGGCAGCCCTGGGGCTTCTGGTGAAGGGCAGTGTTGTAGCTTTGTCTGCTCTTGTGGCACAGCTTGTGCTCTGGAAGATGGAGGTGCAGTGTGGGTGCTGTATCCTCTTGACCCTACAGAGCCTGTTGCTTAGCACTGTTTGGAAGGGGTAGCTGTTGTGCAATGTTTTTGTCCCTAAAAGTGTAAAGTGGGGCTAAAAGCTGGAAACATTCCTAGGGTGACCTGTGCTGGTGGGTTCCTTGCAAGGTCCCGCAGGAAAGCGGTCCCTGATACTCAGCAGTGTCATTTCTTCCCTGCTGAGCCTGGCTGTGGTCTTGCTTGCCTCTTTGGCAAGAGGGTTTGGAAAGTTTAGGGTTGGTCCCTGCAGTGCAATGGGTCTGGTGGGTCCTGCAGTCTGGCTCTGTCCTTCCCATCCCTCTCTCTAAGTGGGTGCTTTTGTTTCCAGGGGGTCCTGTGCCGCACCTTGCAGGGCCACGCTCACTGGGTGAACACCATGGCCCTTAGCACTGACTACGTTCTCCGCACCGGTGCCTTCGAACCTGCTGAAGCCACCATCAACCCACAGGATGTGAGCGGCTCCTGTAAGTGCAGCACCTGCCTTGTAGGCTGGGCGAGGCGGTGGGGAGGGTAGCGAGGAGACCTGATGTCCCTTCTTATTAATGTCATGAGCCAAAGCAATCTTGAGAGCTGAAAGCAGGTCCTGCGCTGGTGTTGGTCATGCTGGCAGCCATCGTCTTCTGTGTCAATGCACAGGGTCAAACAGTCTGGGGGATGGGAAGGCCACCCTGTTTTCAAGGGCTTTTGCTCCCAGTATTGCCTTGGCAAAGAGAAAGTGCTGAGCAGTCACAAATGGCATCTGCTTGGCCCGTTGGAATTGGCATCACGGGGTTATAAAGTTTCTTTTCACCTCAGGATTGCACGTCTCTCATTCTTCCCCTCTCCCTTCCCCTCTCTTAGTGGCAGAACTGAAGGACAGGGCACAGCAGAGGTATGACCAAGTCAGGGTAAGTCCCTTTTGTCATTTCTAGTTCTATTACTGGTGGAAACAGTAAACATGGACAGTTGGCTGTTGACCCCAACACTGGTGTGCTTCCAAGTTCTCCACACCTGGCTTGTACAAGACTTGTCTCTTTCTTCCCTTTCTCAGGGCAAGGAACCAGAAAGGCTCGTCTCGGGCTCAGATGATTTCACGCTGTTTCTTTGGAGACCAGCAGAAGACAAGAAGCCACTGGAGAGAATGACGGGCCACCAAGCATTGATTAACCAAGTCCTCTTCTCGCCAGACACCCGGCTAATAGCTAGTGCTTCCTTTGACAAGTCCATAAAGCTCTGGGATGGTAGGACAGGAAAGTGAGTTGGTTTGTTGTGTTACAGAGGGTGCTTGTATGGTCTCTGTGTGTAATGCACAGGTTACGCCAAGATGGGCCCCAGTGTCATTGCCAGGAACTCCCTGGTGGGTTTGGCATCTCTGTAGCCTGAACTCATGCAAAGTCATTCTGCTGTCTCTGTCTCTCTCTGCTCTTGAGAAGTCCCTTGTCTGGCTCTTCTTGTGTTATGGGGTCTGTGCTTGGCCAAGGGTGTGCAAGTCCACTGTCACCCAGCCACCGCACTGCCTGGCACCCGTGTGGCACACGCTGCCTGCTGCAGGGTGGGTTCTTCAGGGCAGGCGCAGCCGCGGTGGGATGGGACGTTCCACTCGGCTGCCCTCCTGAAGACGTGTGCGTTGCACGCTGCAAACTGACCCAGTTTAAATGGTTGCTGTGCCAGGGAACAGCTTGTTCTGGACGATGCAAATTCCTGTAATTACAAATGGTGCTGTTGGTGTTTGGATGCTCCTGTAGTCCAGCTTTTAACCTTCTGCTGGAGGGTTGGTGAAGTCCTTCCCTTGTTTTGCCTTTGTACTGATGAGCTTGGGTTCATGTCAGTAATTGTAACAGTCCTTCTAAAGCCAGGCTCCTCAGCCAGAGAGAAGACTTATCTCTGTGGTGAGGCTATAGTGTTGCCTGCTGGATAAGGGTTTCTTGGCAGAGGAGTTGAGATGAAGAGCTGTCTGTCCTCTAGAAGGCTCTGAGCCCATCTGGGAGGATTTTTAGACTGAACCACCTATGGACTCTGTATAGCAGTTGACTGCCTTGTGCGTGCTGGCTTGGGGTGTGCTGGGCATCCTGTGACCGTGCTTGCTTGGTCACAGGTGGAGAAGAAACATGAAGGCTGGGCAAGGGCAGGTTTGGAACAAACCCAGCTGCCTGCTCCTCTAACAGCTTCTTTCTGCCTCCTCCACACCAGATACCTGACGTCGCTGAGAGGACACGTCTCGGCTGTGTATCAGATCGCCTGGTCAGCCGACAGCCGCTTGCTGGTGAGCGGGAGCAGTGACAGCACGCTGAAGGTCTGGGATGCCAAGACAAAGAAACTGGCCATCGACCTCCCCGGCCATGCAGACGAGGTGAGGTGTCTCGTTGAGCCGAGGTGTTTGAGAAAAGCAGGAATGACTCCTCCCAGTAGAGATAACTGTGTCTTTCCCTAATACTAGGTGTATGCAACAGATTGGAGCCCGGACGGACAGAGGGTAGCGAGTGGAGGGAAGGATAAGTGTTTGCGGATGTAAGTAACCTGTTGTCTGTCCATAGAAGATGTTGCAGCTGCCCCATGTGTCCTTCAGAGCTGCAGTCTCCTCACAGAGACCTGCACAGTTAGGGTATGATCTGTCCTTGCAGACAGGACAGTGCTGGGCCAAATTCCAGCCTGGAGACCTGACCTCCCTCTGGGCAGGAACTGCTGCTGTCCCCTGGGAGATGTCTAGAAAGCAGATTCTCTCCAACTGAGCAGTCAGTGGTGAAATTTGACTCAGACATTTTGGCTCCTGGAGAGGGGAAGGAACAGTTGCACCAGTCGGTCAGACCCTTCCTTTCTCACTGTCTCCCAGTTATGCAGACAGACAAATTCCTGTGAGCTGGTTGCCATTTGACTACAGCTGATGAAGGAACTTGGTCCCCAGGCCCCCGCTGTGCTGCCCTCATAGGGTACGTGCTGGGTTGGACCACGGGGACGCAGCAGCTCTTTCCATTTGCAGATGGCGTCGATAGGAGCAGTGACATGAAGCCACCAGTCCTGTCCTAAGCTGGCCTGCCCTTACCACAATCTGCCTGGGAGATCTGCGAGGTGATGGACAATGGAGGCTGACTGGAGCACGACTCCCTGTTCCTGTTGGCTGCTCTCCCTCATGGACTCTTTCCTTATATTTATTTAAGGAAATTTTAATTCTAGTTCTTATTAAGAGCTGTGCTTTGCAGGATGATTTCCTCTGAATATTACAGGAGGGATATCTCATCTGCCTCCATCTCAACTGGCTTTTTATTGAAGTTTCAACCTTACAGTAGCCTGCTCCCTCAAAAGGGGCTAGTGGAGGGTGGGGGGCAGCTCATGCCCTTTCTTGCTGTGTGAAGGGAAGAGGCTTTTAGTGGCAAGAGAAAGGGTTGTCCTTCTGTGACCTTCAGGGAGGGAGGAAGGGGAAAATTCAGCACATCATTACGTTGCAGAATTGTGCTCAGCTTCATGCCCTTTCTTGCTGTGTGAAGGGAAGAGGCTTTTAGTGGCAAGAGAAAGGGTTGTCCTTGTGTGACCTTCAGGGAGGGAGGAAGGGGAAAATTCAGCACATCATTACATTGCAGAATTGTGCTCAGCTGCATGCCTGGGACAAAGATCTGCTGAGAATAAGGTCTCGGGGCTTCTCGTTCCAGTAAGGTTTTGCCTTTCTGCTCAGCCCATTTCCCTGTGGGCTGTGAGGAGCATTATCTGATAGTGATCCTCTGCCTGCACAGCAGATAACACGTTCACTCATCCATTCAGGAGGCAACAGGCATGGACTTCAAAGGACTGCTAGAGATGTGCTGAGTTTTCAGGTCTCAATGGCTCTTAGAAATTGGGAAATGAGGCACTTTTGCATCCAGACAGGGGGGGGAGCGCTCGTTTCCCACCCACTGCCAGCTCAGGGGCGAGGAAGGAAGGGGTGGGGATGGGGAAGAATGGAGCAGGGATTTTGGGTGGTGTTTGTCCCTTGCCCTGGATACGTGCTGACAGCAAAGCTGGGACTGTCACAGTACATGGCAAATCTTCCATTGCACAGAGTTGGCTCCTTCTGGAATTTCTCAAGTGCATTTACTTGCCCAGTGGGTGAGAGGGATTCACACTGTCAGTTATATATTTGCAAGCTTGCTTATGAGCCTTTTTATAAGTCAGTTCAGGCTTCCAACAATCATGAGGTTGAATAGACCTGGATTTAGTGTTTATTTCCAGGATGCTTAGGAAACAGTGAAAATCAAGGTGAGATTAATAAGGAATAGAGATTGTATTGTCTGATTTAGTTGCAGCAAGCTAGCATGAAGGCCAAAACATTCCCTGTAGCCCTCATACTGCAGTTGCCACCCAGTAATTACTGCAATTCAGAACAGGAGTTTGGGTCTCAAATGCTTCTCAGCTGCAGAAGATGTATTTTAGGGCTTTATTCCTGCTGGCAGGATTGTTTTGTAGGGTTAATGGTGCAGAATGGCTATTTGCTTGTCTGCAGATGTTCCGGTGAGCAAAAGACTGGAACAAAGGGTTAAATCTTTAATATGACTGAGAGCAAATTGTGGTTGTTAGTGTCTCTGCCAGCCAAGTCAGCAGGCTTCATCTTCATGGGATCTTTTGGGAAGAACTCAATATCCTAGACCTGCTCTTTCGTTAATGTGCTTCCTCCAGCTGGTTCTTGCTGACGGTGAAGGCCATGTTGCGTCCATCTGCATAAACAAAACCTTTCGTAATTCGCTAAGGTAAATGTTGTGGGACAGAGAGTGATTTAAAATTGTAGCTGATAATTCTGCCTCCCTGGACTGCCGTGCCCTTGGGAAGGAGAGGAGCACACATGCAGCTGACGGATCTCTGGTAACAGCCAAGAAGCCTGCCCGTTTCACAAGTTGGTTTTTTTTGGGCCGCCTGTGTGAAAGGAAACAAACCACCCTTGGGAGCTCAGCTCCACTCCCCAGGTTTGACTTGCTGAAAGCAGCAGCTTCTGCAGCTCCTGGTAGTACATTACTCTTTTCAAGGAAAGAAGCATCATTCTCTGCTTCCTCTTCCAAAGCGCTGAACGGGGTCACTGTGCCCTGTTAATCCACGGTGCGTTTTGTGTTATAAGTGGGGATGTATCAGAGCCAGGGAGAGTGATCTTGCCTGTGGGGACTGACTTGGCCATGCGTGTGTGTACGTGTACCTAAAGGTCACTTCCTTGTCCACTGATTTCCAAACTTTCCAAAAGCTATCACTGTGCCCTCTGGCCGTGCTCCTAATCTAGGCAAGCTCCTGCCATCCCTTCAGACTCTGCTTCTGAGATATTAGGCACTGAACAGAGTTTAGTTAAAACCCACCTTCCTAATGCTGGAGCAGAAACCTTATCCAAAGCAAAGGGAGACCTTTTGAAGAAAGACAAGGCCTTGCAACTAAGTTTATGCCAAAATAAGTTTATATTGGCCTTAATCTTTCTGTGACCTGATAGCGGGCAGATTTTGAGCTACACTATGTGATGGGTTGGCACATGGACCAAATCATATTTTCTTATCTAAGCAGTTCTACTATTTTTATCATTCATACAGTACCAGCCTTCACGCATACTAAGTGCTGGCCCCGTTCCAGCTGTATTCCTAAGCAATCCTGTAACACTCCTCCCAGTTTTATTTGAATGCGGCATTTCCCGGGCCTGGCTCTGCAGTCTCCTGCCTGCTCTCAGGCGCTGGGGAAGAGCCGCTGCCCTTCGCTTCAGGGCTGGCTCCTTTTTGGCAGGAGGCAAAGCAAGCAAGCAAGCTGTGATGGTGATGTGAGCTTTAATTAGCTAATTTTTAGAACTGCAGTTGCAGATTTGGGTCGATGGTATTAATGGGGAAGACATTACTTTTTGTTAAAGGATAAATCTAGAAGGTAGGCTGGAGCTTTCTGATTGCTTTTCTGGGAAACCGCATCACTAACCTTACAAAAAACCCACTGAAACAAATGAACTTTTCCAATGCTGTGTGATAGGAATCTCAGAATCTATTCTTGTGTTTCAATTCAGTTTGTCCCGAGTTACTCAAGTGTACCACACAATTTTAGGGCTTTATTCCTGCTGGCAGGATTGTTTTGTAGGGTTAATGGTGCAGTAATGGCTATTTGCTTGTCTGCAGATGTTCCGGTGAGCAAAAGACTGGAACAAAGGGTTAAATCTTTAATATGACTGAGAGCAAATTGTGGTTGTTAGTGTCTCTGCCAGCCAAGTCAGCAGGCTTCATCTTCATGGGATCTTTTGGGAAGAACTCAATATCCTAGACCTGCTCTTTCGTTAATGTGCTTCCTCCAGCTGGTTCTTGCTGACGGTGAAGGCCATGTTGCGTCCATCTGCATAAACAAAACCTTTCGTAATTCGCTAAGGTAAATGTTGTGGGACAGAGAGTGATTTAAAATTGTAGCTGATAATTCTGCCTCCCTGGACTGCCGTGCCCTTGGGAAGGAGAGGAGCACACATGCAGCTGACGGATCTCTGGTAACAGCCAAGAAGCCTGCCCGTTTCACAAGTTGGTTTTTTTTGGGCCGCCTGTGTGAAAGGAAACAAACCACCCTTGGGAGCTCAGCTCCACTCCCCAGGTTTGACTTGCTGAAAGCAGCAGCTTCTGCAGCTCCTGGTAGTACATTACTCTTTTCAAGGAAAGAAGCATCATTCTCTGCTTCCTCTTCCAAAGCGCTGAACGGGGTCACTGTGCCCTGTTAATCCACGGTGCGTTTTGTGTTATAAGTGGGGATGTATCAGAGCCAGGGAGAGTGATCTTGCCTGTGGGGACTGACTTGGCCATGCGTGTGTGTACGTGTACCTAAAGGTCACTTCCTTGTCCACTGATTTCCAAACTTTCCAAAAGCTATCACTGTGCCCTCTGGCCGTGCTCCTAATCTAGGCAAGCTCCTGCCATCCCTTCAGACTCTGCTTCTGAGATATTAGGCACTGAACAGAGTTTAGTTAAAACCCACCTTCCTAATGCTGGAGCAGAAACCTTATCCAAAGCAAAGGGAGACCTTTTGAAGAAAGACAAGGCCTTGCAACTAAGTTTATGCCAAAATAAGTTTATATTGGCCTTAATCTTTCTGTGACCTGATAGCGGGCAGATTTTGAGCTACACTATGTGATGGGTTGGCACATGGACCAAATCATATTTTCTTATCTAAGCAGTTCTACTATTTTTATCATTCATACAGTACCAGCCTTCACGCATACTAAGTGCTGGCCCCGTTCCAGCTGTATTCCTAAGCAATCCTGTAACACTCCTCCCAGTTTTATTTGAATGCGGCATTTCCCGGGCCTGGCTCTGCAGTCTCCTGCCTGCTCTCAGGCGCTGGGGAAGAGCCGCTGCCCTTCGCTTCAGGGCTGGCTCCTTTTTGGCAGGATGCGAAGCAAGCATGCAAGCTGTGATGGTGATGTGAGCTTTAATTAGCTAATTTTTAGAATTGCAGTTGCAGATTTGGGTCGATGGTATTAATGGGGAAGACATTACTTTTTGTTAAAGGATAAATCTAGAAGGTAGGCTGGAGCTTTCTGATTGCTTTTCTGGGAAACCGCATCACTAACCTTACAAAAAACCCACTGAAACAAATGAACTTTTCCAATGCTGTGTGATAGGAATCTCAGAATCTATTCTTGTGTTTCAATTCAGTTTGTCCCGAGTTACTCAAGTGTACCACACAGGTATGCCTATCGCAAGGGTGTTATTTTTTGCTGGTAATATAAGAATAATGTTAAGTATGCCCAGAAACTGTCCTGCGGAGCCCTCTGACACTTTCTCCTTTAAAAGCTGTGATAGCTCAGCTGATGCCACCATTAATTTTGTTACAAATCCTCAATGGAGGACAGTGACAATAAGCACTGGGAAGCATGCCAGTTCTCTGAGAGAGGTTTACCTGGCTCATAAATTCCTGAGTATGATGGAGGGAGACATGGAAGAAGAGAAGAAAATGGTAAGAACACCGAGAGTGAAGTAGATTGTTGGATAGCACTGAGATGAGCACAGATGGTGCCAGACTCCTGCTTTTTTGGGTTGATTTAGAGAAGTAAGGCCTTAGCATCCCAGTAGATTGTTGGATAGCACTGAGATGAGCAGCATAGTGCCAGACTCCTGCCTTTTTGGGTTGATTTAGGGAAGTGAGGCCTTAGCATCCTTATGAAAACTGTTGTTGGCGCTTTGTGTTTTACTTACCCAAGCAGAAGTGCTGGTCAAGCAGTGTATGCCTTGTGTGCCCCAGGTCTTTGGTCACTGGAGCCATACATTCGTGTTCTGCGCGACTC